ATCAATCAGGAAAAAAGTTTTCCTATACCAATAAATTTTTCGAGCAATTTTTTTCTCAGTTTTTTTGAAAATAAATACTCTTAATGTTAATCAATCCCGATAAATTTTATGTGAGATGTGGACATGGGTTAGTGTTATTATAATCCGAAGACAGAATCAAATCATCTCGATTCGTTTTTAAGTTATGGCCATTATGGACATTTATTTCTGAACGCCTTGTTATTAATAAGTAAGCATTCATTTAGTTTTAAAAAGTACTTTACAATTTAATTATCAAAATATTTATAATAAATATTTAAAAATATTATTAATAGTTGATAAACATATGTTAATAATCCTCTTACAGTATATAAGAATTATGTCTAAATTACTAAATTTATAAAGTAGTAAATATAAAAGTGTACAAAAGTATACCTAAAGTACTGACAAGTAACTTACTTGAAGTTACTATATTATGCAAACTATTTATGATATAAAGAATGAATTTACAATGAAAGAAATAGCATATTGATTATTAAATTATTGTAAATCATGTACATTAGATTATTTTGTTATAAATTTTATATTATAAAGAGTTCTATATAATTATAATATAAAAATCAATTAATTTAATAAACAGCATATTTATTATTGATTATATTGATAAATAATAAATGATAAAAAGTCTACAAAACAGTTGTGAAAGTCATCATAAATGTTAAGTAAATGTCAAGTATTTGTGAGATAACTAACAATTGTTGAAATCGATCACAATTATTATCAATCCGTTCCTCTCAAGGCTTCACAAAACACTATTTATAGCCAAGAAATCAATTGAATTATTCACTTCTTTCGGATCAGTCATACAAGTCCTGACACAATGAAAGTCGCTGTGATCTTAGCTTTGACTCTGGCTGTCGTGTCGGCTAAAAGTAAATACATGTCACTAAATATATATATCAAATTAATACTAACCCAAACCATTCAATCCCTCCAACAGCGCCGGCCATCAAACTGAACACCGGGTATGAGATGCCGCAGATAGGGATCGGCACGTGGCAAGTGAAGGGCGCTCAGGCGACCCAAGAGGTGAAGGACGCCCTGGAGGTCGGCTACAGACATGTGGACACCGCCGAGATCTACGCCAACGAGAAGGAGGTCGGAGCGGGTATTCACGCCCAGATCAACGCCGGTATTCTGAAGCGCGAAGACCTGTTCATCACCACAAAGGTGTGGCCCGACGGCAGTAACCGACAGAAGGCGTTGCAGACAATCCACAACTCGTTGAAGTCGCTGAACGTCACTTATTTGGACTTAGTTTTGGTTCACTTCCCGCACGACAACTACGCCGAGACCTATAAGGGTTTGGAGGACGCGTTCAACCAGAAGTTGGTCCGCTCTATCGGAATCTCCAACTTCGACAGAGCGCAGATCGATCACGTGCTCAAGACGGCCAAAGTGAAGCCCGCTGTCAACCAAATCAATATCCACCCGAAGAACAATCACGACGACACTGTCAACTACAGCAAGCAGTTGGGAATCGCTGTCACCGGGTATTCACCGCTCGGCACCGGAGGTCTCGTTAAGGACCCGACTCTTGTGGCCATCGGTAAGAAGCACAACAAGTCCGCGGCTCAGGTGGCCCTCCGCTGGCAGATTGAGAGACATCTGATCACAATTCCGAAGAGTGTCACCAAAAAGTACATTAAGGAAGACTTCGAGATCTTTGACTTCACTTTGACTCAAGAGGAGATCCAAACCATTAATAAAATGCACTAAAATTGTTGTAATTTTTTAATATTTGGTTTTAACAAAATTAAATAACAAATAAAAACATTTAATTTCAAAACGGTCTTAAAATTTAAATCATTTTATTTGATCATTGTGAATTTTATAAATAACCATGAATCATAGGCTTTGATTGTCTATGTTTATTTTATAAATGCATGTATGATACATTACTTTCAATATTCTCATAAATTTTAGATTAATTTAGCTAAAATTTAGAACGAGTTAATGACTACAGGATTAATTACATGTAAAGATTTACAATATTATATTGTCAATATATGATAAAATATTAGAATTGTACATTAGAATACGTTTATACTATAAGTAAATTACCTAAATATATTTATAATCATTTAATCAAATACCATTTTATTTTAAATCTAAATCCTGGTAAACACAATTAATTTAATTAAATGCATTAGTTTATAATATTAAAAAATGGTTTATTTAACTTCTAAAAATATTTTATATTTATTTTAATATAATTTAACATTCATATATTAAGGAAATAATTTTTTATTGAACATTTCTATTTATTCAAAAGCATGTGATTTGTTTAATTTATTTTATTTTTAAATTAATTAATTAAAATAAACGCAAAACCAAAAAACATGTAAAATAAATGCAAATGGTAGATCTAAATATATTTATGTTTAAATTAAATTATAAACAAGGAAATGTACATTTTATAAGCGCAATATTTTTGATGATTATTTTTATTTATTGAAATTGGTAATTTTCTGTCACATATTTTGCTAACATTATAATTAATTATTATAATTTTTGAAGGATATATGAAAAGTAATTGTATTGAATGTTTAATTAACTTTCGTTTCAGTTGCTATGGAGTGACTATTTTAAAAATACAATACAAATGCAACAATAAACCACTGATACCCATAAGAAAGTGCATATGAAAACGGCATATATTAATTGATTATACGGTACATTATATTCAGCAAAATTATCAAATGAAATATTGTCTCAAATCAAATAACTACTACTGTTTTACCTTAACCTCTATTGCAAAGAAAAACTACTAATAATTAATTATAATTGATTACAAGCGGATAGAAATGTTTGGATTGAAAAATAGCTACAAATAGCACACAAAAAGTTAAAAACAAGTTTTTATTCAACATTTAAAGTGCAAAAATAATATCAAGTCAAAAACAAATTGGGAGACATTTTCGCATAGGATTGATGAGTAACTTTATGTTCACCATTTCAAGTGATTTGCACCTTAAAAAATTGTTATGTATTTTCAAGTGAATTGAAATTGTGTTCACAATATACCCAATCATTTGCTGCACAATCAATACAGAGCTGACAATAAGCACAGAATATCTTGTTTTGCATCCGTATTGTAAACGATGATTACTTTCACTCATTTATCGCTATTACTATGTATTGTGTTTGCTATCAACTCAGCGGAGGGTATGTTTAATGTTACTTAAAATACTTTTAATACATTGAGATATTAGTAATTAATTAAGTTTCTAGTTGTTTATTAAATGATTATAAGTCCTACTTATAGATGTGCAGTTATAGTGCGTTTGGTAATTTAGGCACACATTTTTGCTAAAAATAATGATAATAATAGAAATCTATGAAATAGTGCTCCTAAAACATTATTGTTAGATTATTTACACACAATGTTTAAACATGATTAAAAAAAACTCTGCTTATCAAATAATAAAAGAAGATTACATCTAGATAGTCTACTTTTTATTTTTATTAATAGATTATTAATAATAATCGCGATTTAATTATTTATCAGATGTGCCGCTAATACGGCTAAATACGGGCAAAGAGATGCCGGCCCTGGGGTTAGGCACGTGGCAGACAGAGGGGCCCGAAGTGACTAACGCCGTGCGGGAGGCGTTAGAGGCGGGCTATAGGCATATCGACACCGCCTGGTTCTACCACAACGAGGGCGCCGTCGGGAAAGGCATACAACAGGCCATCGATAAGGGAGTGGTCACTCGCGACGACATATTCATCACCACAAAAGTGTGGCCCCGGAATATGAATAGACAGACAGCGTTTGGCATCATTAAAAACTCGCTGAAAGAGTTGAACACCTCGTATGTGGACCTGGTTTTGATGCACTGGCCGTTACGGCGGGCGAGGGCTACGGCCGACGTGTATCGCGGTCTGGAGGACGCCTATAACAAGCAAATGGTGCGCTCGTTGGGTGTGTCCAACTTTAAACCGGCTGAAATTGAGACACTGATGCAAACGGCCAAGGTGAAGCCCAGCAACAATCAGATCCGTATCCATCCGGGTTTCAATCAGGACAACACCGTTGACTATTGTAAGAAACATAACATCTCGATCACCGGCTACTCGCCTCTGGGCACCGGAACCATACTGGACGAGCCGGCGCTCGTCAAGATTGGCAAAAAGTATGGTAAGAGTCCGGCACAGGTGGCCATCCGGTGGCAGATCCAGAGGGGACTCATTGTCATACCGAAGAGCACCCATAAGAAACGAATTGTCGAGAATTTCAATGTCTTTGACTTTCAACTGACGGATAAAGATATGCTTGAAATCAATTCAATCAAACAAAACAGAATCCCTGACTTCTGGGGTTAAACACCATTATTATTGCCATTCATTTATTTTTAATATAATATTTTTTGATTATATTTTTTACAACTAATTATATTTTTATAATTTTCTAAAAATTAAAATATGATAACATATTTATGTGTAATTTGCAATAAATACTTAATTTAAAATGCTATACAATGTATCATTAGTTTTTTGGTGTTATTATAAGTTATTACAAACTTGTATTTAAATAAGCTAAATTATTTTGCGATATTTAATCATGTAAAAATAATAAAAATGTTATTTTTAAATATACAAATACTGGACATTAAATTTATACAAGTTCACCAAAAGTAGGAAAATGTGTTAAACTTTTAACCGAAAATCACATAAAAATATTTCACTTATCAATTAAATCAAACTAATATTTCAAAAAATTTTACATAGATGTGAGCGATTGCTCTCATGAGAGGCAACCAGTCTTACCAGTCCAACGGCACACCACATCTCTGTACTCAATCTCTACTCTACTGTTTCTAATATAATTTACAATCACATCAATTGTATCGTAAAATATATCATATTTTAATACAATTATAATTACAAATGTGTTTTATATTGTTATGAATTTCTCTGCTATTTGAGGGGAAAAATCTAATTTTCGGAATTAATTTCTAATTAGTTTAACAATACATTACAATAAAGCAAATGTGAATTCTGTGCACAGAAAAAAAAAGGTTTTGTTGGCTATAATTAGGTTTAGGCTTTCATTAGTTAATTTGCTTTTTCCATACGAATCCATATGAATATTATTAGACACATAAAAATATTATTTCATATTCACATAAAAATAATAGACTTTTATATAATTTTTTTTGTTATTCATATGACGTGAGGAGACGACTATAATAACCCAAACAGAGTCGCTGTGAATCCCATTCCCCACAAAATCCATGCCATTATATAATGAACACTGAAAACCGTTTTCATTATGCAATTCAATCATTAAATATTAAGTTTGTGTTCATTTGTTTGATATTTTTGCGCCACAAATAGCATTGTGTTTAGGAGTTTGCGGTAAAAATGCACAGTAAATGTATAAATTGTTGCTGAAAACTGTGTTATATTGAATTTTATTGATCTTTAATGACCCTGCTCATTCAGCATAACTGATCTTCCATGAGGGAGGATACTCTTTGCAAACATTATTAATAATTGATTTAAATGATATCTATTTTGTTATCAATTGTAAATCAATATTTAATATATTTATAAGCATTTATAATATAAATACAGGAAATATAAATCGTCTAAATCTTAGCCCTTTTATATATTTATAATAATAATTATGATTTTAATAATGATTGAAATTCTATGGCAAAATAAATGATTATAATTTGTAAATAATAATATCTTAATAGTTTTTCAATGATTGAAAAATTGTAAGTTGTATAAATAAGTAAATTGTGATAAAGTGCTACGATTTGAAAATAGTTTGTAAAAATTAATTTTGAAAACATTTAACAGTCAAATGTGAAATACAGTACAATTCCGTGAAATGGCATATAATTAAGTGTAACTAATTGTGAAATCAATTGTAAATCATGTGCTTATAGTGTAGCCCATGTACAACATGTAATAGGGTATTACTAATACCTGTTCATTCCTATTTTAGGCACTGGCATGGGACGGGTAATGTTTGCAAATAAAACAATCATGTTTTGATTCATAATAAAACAGTATTTGACTTTACTGTTAGCTTAATAATACTGTTTATTTTCCCACAAAAGCATTTATTAATACAAGTTATTTGTTTGCTATGTCTCAACATTTCTACGAAAATAAGAGTTAAATCACAATATTATGGCTCAAAATGAATATTAAATTAAGTTTAGCCGTCGTCTCAAATGTCTCAAAATCAGATTTTTGACATAAATTGTACATAAAATCACATTTAAATGCCATTCCTTTGATAAATGTCAACAAATATGTTAAATCGATTGTTTTCATCGCTATTTATTTCGCTAATATTCACCTCATTGTTGATCATTTGTTTCTATGGTTTTAATTCGGATGTCTATAAACTGACTAAAGAATATTCTGTTGATCACAACAGTAACAGAATATTCACATTCGGCGCCAAACCAACTGACCATATGATGAAAATAGCGGTCACCAGTTGTGGTGATCATCACATTCTTGAACAGACATTGGTTATGATTAAGTCAGCGCTCATTCTCTCCACACAAAGATTGCATTTTATTATATTTGTTGATAAGAATCGGCGCCTATATATGGAAAGGGTATGTTTGATAAGCTGTATAAATGTGTGCTTTTGAAACAATAGTTTTCACTATACATAAACACTAAACATAAAGTTTAAATAAATATTTGGCATTTCTAATAATATTTAGAAATTGTAAAAATAATTTAATAGTAATTCATTTACTAATTATAGTTACTGGAATGGCCGGCCAATATTCTTGCTCGAATTAGTTTTGAAATACACCAAGCAACATTTCCCAATGTGTCAAATCCAGAATACTTTAGAAAGGCATTTAAACCATGTGCATCGCAACGACTATTCTATCCAGTTTGTTTCATTTATTAAATCGCATATTTTCTAAAAACACAAACAATTTATAAATGAATTAAAATAAATTAAAATAAATGATTAAAAAATATATAACATATTTTCAGATATTACTACCGAATTACGATTCAGTCATTCATATCGACAGCGACTCAATATTTTTACAACCGGTAAACGAGTTGTGGCAACACTTCCAGCGTATGAACGGCAGTGAATCGGTGGCGATGGCGCCGGACAACACCAATCCAAACACATCGTGGTATAAAAATTACAACACCGGTCGCCACCGCATACCGACGCCCACACTATACTCGCTGAACACTGGCGTTATATTAATGAATTTGACCAGGATGAGAGAGACAGACTTTTTTGGCCATTTGGAGCCTATTATCGGGACATACGGGTCGAGAATCAATTGGTTTGTCAACGACTTTATGTCCATATATTTGCATCAATTCCCGGACCGGTATCTGAATGTGTCGTGTCGTTGGAATTTTCTCACAGACCATTGCGATGAGGGTCTGGCCCTCTGTCCGGCCGCCCATCGGCTCGGCGTAGGCCTACTTCACGGCAGTCGCCATACGTTTATGTCGTGGTCCAGAGCGCCCGCCTTTCGGGCCGTTTACCTCGCGTTTCTTGACTATCAGTTCAATACTGATTTACGACTGAATCTAGTTTTGCCACTAAAACGGTATCTCATGTTTGCCGCTAACACTGGATGCGGAAAATTTAGTGCAATTTTTTATACATTTTTAGATAGGTTTTCAAATGAAACTCATTTTGTATAATTATTTGTTATTATTTATTTATATTAATTATTTATTTAAAATATCAATTTATTTTTAGTAATTGATAGTAATTAATGATTAGTAATCATTGATTACTAATTATTATGTAATCAATAAGTTTGTAATAATATTTATTATTTTCTTTGTAAAACAATTAGAGTTTAATTGTTTGAAATAAAAATTATAAATAAATAGTTGAAAATTAGGTTTATATAATTATTTATATCATTTTGTATTTAAATTAAATTTGTGGATATATTTAAATATAATAAATTTAAATTTAAGAAAAATATAATTTGCAATTTACTAACTAAATAAACTAAATCAATTTAATTGTTTAATCTATATTTATCTAGAAACTAATTTATAATTTCTTTACCATAATATATTTGCATAAAACAAGTTAAAGTATAGTTAATTTATTAAATCACGTTTATTGTTAATTACAAAAATGTTTTACTTTGTATAAATAAACCAAAGTTGTAACTTCATATTAAACATTAACAAGTTGGTAATTAATCTATAAATCCAATTATCAAGATTTAGTTCATTATTTCACAAAATATTTATCATAAAAGTATATCAAATTTCACATTTCATTATAAAAAACATGTTTGACATAAAAAACCAAAATTATCATATTGTAAAGTATATCGAAAATATTTTACATTATTCGGTTACAAATGAAAGGCAATCATTTGATTCACTTTTTATTACTTATAATTAACGGTATATTTAAAACGAGTAATTATTTAAATAAAAACTAATTAACAATTTAACGCATAGACTATATTAACTGCGATAATGAGCACAGACTTCGGGGGTCAGCGCACGGGTCGGCGAATTACGATATGATTGATTTGATTAATCCGGACGTATGGTTGGATCCCTATCCAGCCAACGGGTTCGGGTCAGTGGACACATCACTAAACCAGGGATACGTGATCTCAATCAACACCACCAACACTGCAAACGCGGTGCCGGTAGTGAACGCCACGGTTACCGGCGGTCCGGGCGTCAGGAATCCGACCGCCAATCATAAGAGAGGCAAAACAAAGAAGAGGAGTAACAGTCAAATGGTTGTCAATATTCCAGGTCTTCATAAAATCAAAAAATATATCCGAAAAAAGAAACCAAAAAAGAGTGAGTTTTTTGCGTAAAAAACAAATTAAACAATTTTTAAGTTACTTTTTTTACCCTAATTGTTAGACACGAAGAAGCCCTCCCATCCCCGGCCGGAACCGTCGCCCCCATCGTCGCCGACCGGTAATCTACAACAACAGCAAATCGCTATTATAGTACCCGAACCGCCCGGTCATGGCGTCGAAGAGACCACACCCTATCAAATGACTGACATTATTACTATTACACCGCCCCTACACGACCACACTATACCTCCCGCGCCACCCAATCATCCCCCGGGAGGTCCGCCACCGGGTAATCAGCACAACACACCTCCGCCCGGAGGACCGCCGGGTGGGCCGTCAACGCCTCCATCCGGCCAAACAGCTCCCGGCCCTCCGCCAGAAATCCCAGGGCAACCGCCCGGAGGTCCTCAGCCACCGCCTTCAGGCCATCCGCCCGGACCCCCACCGCCATCATCGCCACCGGGTTCACCGCCCGGTGCGCCCCCGGGTTCACCTCCGGGTACGCCTCCGTGCAATCGCCAAACCGGTCTCCACTGTCTGACCGAGAATTCCGTCATTACGACGACCACAACCCCATCGCCCCCGCCGTCAGAGCCTCCGGAGGGCGACGAGTGTTGCGAATTGAATTTGATTGAATTCATCACGTTTTTCGCCGCCTTTACTGTTATAAACACTCAGTCAATACAATTGTTGGAGTCTAACAGTAGATCCCTTTTGACAGATACCACGTGTTATCATTTTAAATCAAATTTTTATTTTATATAATGATTACTATTTATTTATTTATTTACATAACTTATTTAAATAATAATTGTTAATTTTTTAGCCCTATAAAAACATATAATTAATTGATTGTTTAAATTATTTGACTATAATTTTTACAAAAATAAAATAAAATAATTATCAAGTTAAGTTACTTTAAATAAATTACTCTACAATAATTACTGCAAATTTATACTACATGAACTTAAACACAGAATGTAAATGCAAATACAGTGTTGTCATAAAATATATAAGAGATATGCACCGAATAGCTACATGGTAGTTTTCCATATTGACTATTTATAGCCATAACTAAAACAAATTAAAGCTAAAATAGTATCCAATAATTATTACTCAAAAACAATTGTTTGCCAGATATACAGGTATACTAATTAAATAGCAATTAAAGTGTTTTTATTTCGTAATGTCTTCCTGTATAAAAATAAATCGCTTTAATGTAGAATTGAGGTTAGACCTAGACCAATTGTATTTACCAAACATTTTATCTATAAATACAATCAGTTTATTTTGAAATTGATAACTATTAGTCCAGTTTTTGAATGTTAGTTTACCATACAATGTGATACTCGTTTAGTGGATACTTGGTTATTTATTTGTTTACGTGATATTTAGTTTAATAATGAAATTTTGGTTATTGTTTTTATTCGTAATTTTTAGCTCCGGTAAGACATCGACATAAATATCAAGTCGTTTACTACTTATGACATTTTACTCGACTTCACAGCTTCCGTATCGTATATAACAAGTGAAAGCGATGGACAGGAGGTGTCGGATGGGGTGAGCGATGATATAAATATTGGTTTCTTATTTGAGGGCCGATCCGCCAAAAAAGGTTACAAATTATGGATTATAAATGTTTTTAATGTAATAATTTTAAACATTACCACTAATGAAACACAGAACCGAAGTTACCGAATGGACCGCCGCTACACAAACCCAAAGACCCAAACCCAAAGTTGCCCAATAGTATGCACTATAAAGACCCAAACCCAAAGTCACCCAATAGTATGCACCATAAAGATCCAAACCCACACTTACCAAATGGTTTCAGACCCAAAGACCCAAAGTCGCCAAAAAGTGAGAAACCGTTCAAAAAGCATAAAAAGTCAAAAATCAGAAAAGACAAGACATCCAAAACCAAATACAATTCAGGAGCGGTTCCGCCGCCTCAGCGTATGTATTAAGTT